GAAATAGGAGAATTAAGCCCCGCCCCCGTGCCATTTTCCTGGCCTGAATGCCCCCATGAAACTGCAGGGTGCCCTGTTGGACAGATATACAGGTCTTGATATGCCCAGTGGTACAGATAGCTGTGTGAGGGGATATTTGTCAGGGAATTGGCATTGAGGGTGAGAGGGAAGTGCTAAAGACAGAAGCAGAGTCTTTAGGCCAGGGGGGTCAAACATGCGGCTCAGGGGTCAGATCAGGCCCCCGGAGGGCTTTCTATCAGGCCTGCAGTGGAACTGGCTGTCTTCTGTCTGCTTCTTCTTCCAGTTCTGCTGCTGCTGCATCATTGTAGGTTTGCAGCTTACAGATACACACCTGGACAGCATACTCAAGATTGCAACAGCACAGACATTTTAATGCAATAATTCAGAGAAAGAGGTGTCAGTTATCCGACACTGTTAAATAAACAAAATATTGCAAGAGTGCTAATGTTTTTAAAGCGTGTTTTTATTTTAAGTTTAAAAAAAACCCCTTTCTGTTTGTGTCCTTTATAAAAAGTTTATATCTCCACTACTTGGCATTACCTTTTATGACACACGTGGCTCGGCCCAACAAGGTCTCATTTAGGTCAGATCCAGCCCTCAGAACAAACGAGTTCGACACCCCTGCTTTAGGCAGTCGAATGCGATGAAACGTTTTGCTCGCTTTTTGTTCCACGTTCTGCCGAGTGATGCCCCCTCTTCCTGTTCCCGCTGCTCCAGAATTCCTAGACGAGGTCATGATGGTTGCCTGCAACCGCTACAGCGGCCTCAGCTACCCGGAATTGCCCACCCTCTTCTTGGAATTCCACGGCAGCGAGCAAAGCGTAGAAGAGCAGGTGCAGGCGACAGGTAAGCCCTGTGGAGGAGGGCCACGGGCCCCAACAAGGCAGGGAACGTGGGTGCACACGCGGAAGCGACTGTACGACCAGCCGAGAGGGTGGCACTGCGGCTGTGACATAAGGCTTCCTCTGCAGGAGAGATTGCGCAGCTGAATGGCGGATCGGAGTTTTTGTGGGCCCGGGAGCAGGAAGCCCGGAACCAGCTGTGGAATGCACGGCATAACGCCTGGTACGCCGCACTGGCCCTTCACCCTGGCAAGAAGGTGAGCGGGCGGGAGGTCTGGAGATATGCTCCACCTGCAGAATACATACATGAATCTGCCTTGTGCTGAATCAGACCATTTGTCTATCAAGATCAGTATTATCGCCCTGACCTGGCGAGCCCAATCTTATCAGATCTCGGAAGCTAAGCAGGGCCAGCCCTGGCAGGTCTTTGGATGGGAGACTTCCAAAGAACACCAGGGCCAGGAGGCAGAGGCAGGCTATCAAGCCACTTCTCTGAACGTTCTCCATGCCCCAGTAGGAGTCACCAGAGGTTGCCATGACTTCCAGGCATGGGCACGCACACACAAAAATGCAAAAATACCCCCCCAAAAAAGAGCAGTATTATCTACTCAGACTGACAGCAGCTCTCCAGAGTCACAAGTGGAGGTCTTTCAGGTCACTTACTACCCAATCCCTTTAATTGGAGATGTCAGGGATTGAACCGGGGATCTTCTGCATGCCAAGCAGAGGCTCTTCCACTGAACTGCAGCCTCTCCCATGTATCTGAGGAAGTGTGCTGCGATTCATGTAAGCCCATATTGAAACATATGATGTTAAGACTTTACGGTGCCATTGGACTTTCCTTTTGTTGTAGGGCTTGTCAGATGCTTAGTAAAATTACTGTTATTAAGGGCAAGCAGTGGTACATGGCTTGTAGACCGCTTCTCCCCACTCCCTTCAGTCTTCTATGCTTAGCCAGTTTGATACAGAGCCAGTTTGGTGTAGTGGTCAAGTGTGCGGACTCTAATCTGGGAGAACCAGGTTTGATCCCCCACTCCTCCACTTGCAGCTGCTGGAGGACCTTGGGCAAGCCATAGTTCTGTCAGAGCTGTTCTCTCAAGGACAGTTCTGGAAAGAACTCTCTCAGCCCCACCTACCTCACAGGGTGTCTGTTGTGGGGAGGGGAGGGGAAGGGAAAGGAGTTTGTAAGCCACTCTGAGACTCTGAGTGAAGGGCGGGGTATAAATCCAATCTTCTCTTCAGCCCTGCAACTTGGCTCACTTACTTCAGTGCTAGGGCACTGCACAGGACCCATAGCTTAGCGGTAAAAGCATCTGCTTTGCATGCATTAGGTCCCAGGTTCAGTTCCTGGCATCTTCAGATAAATGGGCCTGATAGCAGGTGATGTGAAAGACCTCCACCTGAGACCTGGGAAACCAGACTGCCCTTGGTAGATCAGGGGTCTGACTCTGTATAAGGCAACTTTATGTGGGGTGTGTGTGTGTCCTCTTGCCCTTACCACACATAATAGACTGGATTGTGTAGATTAGTAGATGGCAAGTAGGTCAGTGAATCGTTTAGCCTTGGTGGCATAGCGTGGAGGGGTCTTTTTCCAGGGGGTGTCTTCTTGAAAGGGCCAGTAAGTATTTGAAGACACCCCCACCCCCAACTTCTACCTCCCTATTTGGATAGGCAAAAAAACTTGGTGATCTCATGCTCTGGCAGGCTGAGGATATTTATGCTTCACCTTCTCTCTCTGTCTCTGCTCCCTCTCACCCCCCTTAGGGTTATTCCACTGATGTGTGCGTTCCCATCTCTCGCCTCCCTGCTATTTTGGTGGAAACCAAGCAAGATCTCATCGCCTCCAGACTCACAGGTAGGGAGCCTCTGTTGTTGGGAGGGAGATGAGGAGAGGTTCGCTTGTTCCCCGAGAGGCTGGAAGGAGGATTTGGCCACTTCTGACAATGTTTGGTCGCTCCTCCCATCCAGCAATGCTCAGGTATTACTTTGTTATTTATTGGGTGGCAGAGAGATGGTAGGGGAGCCAAGCTAGTTCCAAAAAGCAAGCCAAGGGATCAGATTCCCAGTTGTTTTTGATCCTCATCTTATGCGCATTTCCCTCACTCTCCGCTTTCCTTGGGAAAAAAACCCAGCCAGTTCTTTCTCTGTGGTCTCAGTGCATGCCCACCAATTGGGATTCTGTGGCAGTGTTCAGAGCTAAACTGGAGGGGAAAAATTCAACCTGCCCAAGTCGAGAGGGCGTTAAGGCACATGCCTTGAGGGGCGTGGCTTTCTGTACATACCTCTCTGGGAGGAAGGGAGGGGTAAGCAGCATGAGAATAAAATGTTTGCATAGTATTATTCTTTTTAGATCTTCATTATGCCCCAAGTGGGAGGAAGGGATCCATACTTGGTGTAAAAGTTCTTCCTCTGTGCAATATGTAACCGATCACTAAGGCTTATGTGGGACTAAGACTAGGGTGTAAATTCTTTACTGCCTTGTGCCTCTAGGCCCTATTGTCGGCCACGTTGGAGACGGTAACTTCCACTGCCTCTTGATTTTTGATCCTGAAGATCCAGGCGAAAGTGGGCGAGTGAAGGAATTTGCTATGCGGCTAGCCAGGTAGGGTGTGACTCCCTCCCACGGCTGGGTCTGGGGGAGTGGCTAAGCTTTTCCCACTTGCCTGGGGAAGGTAAACTATGGTGGGCCCCTGCTTCCTAAGGAGAAGGAGCTCACAGCTTTCTGCTGTTAAGGACACATGCGGTGCGGGGTTGCTGGCCTTTAGGCCAGTGGAGGTCATATGGGGTTCACTGAAGCTGCTTCCATACGGACGTTTTTCTCCAACTTTGTTTCCTTAGAGTAGGTATGCCCTGTCATCCTCTAATTTCCCACTTTGCAGGTCTTCCCGACCCTGGCATGCTGTCTCTCAGACATACTTTACTTTGTTCATTTCCAAAGATAGCTCCCATTTTTCAAGGTCTCATCTCCATTGGCACCATTGGCCTTCAGTCATTTCCCCACACCACCACTAGAGGGCTTTTAAAAAGTCAGTGATTGCTATAGCAGTACAGCAGTTGCTAGTTAAAACAACAAAAAACATCCTGTGGCACTGCAAGGAATCAGTGCCTCTCAATGCCTTGAGAGGGAGGAGAGCCTGGCAAACACACCTCTTCCCGCTGCTTCCAGCTGTGGCCAAGCAGGAGGGGAGACCCACCCACGCAAGCAGAGCAGCAGGAAGAGCTGTCCACCCAGTCTCCTCTCCCCGGTCTTGTGCAGCGTGCTGCTTCAGCTCCTCCCTCCCCACCCAGCTTTGCTTCCCCTGCTGGACTCTCATTGGACTCTCGCTTTGAATCAGCCAGGCTCTCACGTTTTGCTTTTCTTCTCCCCTAGGCGTGCGTTGGCCATGGACGGCACCTGTACAGGGGAACATGGCGTGGGCCTAGGCAAGCGGCAGCTTTTACGAGAGGAGGTCGGCGAGGTGGCCCTGTCCACCATGCGGCAGATCAAGGCCACGCTGGACCCTAAGAACCTCATGAACCCTGGGAAGGTCTTGTGACACCTCAGACTGGCTGCCTTGGCACTGTAGCTAAACACACACCATTCACCACACGTACTCCCTTGACCCAAGGACGAATCTGCTGGCTCCTGCCTTGCGTTGTGTCTGCACTGCAAAATTAAACCATTTGGCTGCCTTACCTTTGCCTTCTCCCAAGAAATTGTGGTCAGTGTCATTCTTCCAGGGAGAGGACGACGACGACTCCAGTACTTTACTGCTGGCTGCCCCAGCTGTGTATACCAGTTTCCCCCTAAGGTTTTACCCGTAAATTGACCTTTGTCTGAGGATTGAACTGCCAGGACTCGGCTGACACCCTTCCATCATAACATCTGTACTGGTAGCTGGAATCAAAATAAAGCTGCCTGTGTTATCTATTATGAACGCACAGGGGTGGAATCTTGGTGAAGCCTTCATGGCTATAAGTGCCTAACTGCATATTACATTGTTCCCGGGGGATGTCCCCGGACTGGGTGGAGAGAAGAGGTTTGGCTCTTTCCCACACATACCATTTTCCTAACCTGAAATTTATCTCGTTCATTTATAACCTGCCTTTCTCCACAAAGGGGACCCAAAAGGGCTTTCGTCATTCTCCTCTCCTCCGTTTTATACTGGCAACAAACCTGTGAGGTAGGTTAGGCAGAGTGTGTGTGACTGGCCCAAGGTCACCCAGCGAGCTTCCATGGCACAAGCAGGGATTCAGACCTTGGTCTCCCGGATACCAGTCCAACACTCTTAAGGACTACACCCCCACTGACTCTCCGGGGTACATCAGTTGTCATGTTGGGGGCTGAGTGTGTACTGATGAGCTGCAAAGCAAACTGCTGCCTTCCCCACCATATCAGGGAACTGGCACAGGAAGGGGTGAGGTCTAAGCCCCCTCTCTCCATGCACTACAATCCTACATCTTCCCTTTGTGCCTGGGAAACTAGAACGCACCCCAACCCCTGAGGGTGTCCCTGGAGAAAACACAATGCATAGGTAAGATCCTTAGAAGCTGCCTCACTGTGGACAGACAGGCCAAAGAAAACACATTTGCTTCACGTACAGTAGTAGGAAGAAGAGTGGAAAACATAATCAGAAGTGCTTTCAGCTCAAGTGGTCCTTGATTTTACTCTCCCCTGAAAGCTTTCATCAAGCCTTTCTAAAGTGTGGAAGTAGCTGTCACTCCTTGCGAAGAGCGAGTGCACAAGGACACGGGCGCACCTGGGAGCAGGCTTATGGGTCTGCCTAGCTCACAAAGCAGTTCTCTTCCCTCACCACCTACGCCAGCTTGCAGATCAGTGCTCTTCATCCACCCCACCCACTGGTTTGTCCATCTTCACGCATCTAGCCTTTTCAGAATGCCATGGGAAAAGCTAGCCAAAAACTATTGTATACATCCTGGCAGTAGAAAGTGCTGTCAAATCACAGAGTAATGGTGACACAGAGTATTTTTTGAGGCAACACAGGTGGTTTACCATTGCCTGCCTCGCATAGCTACCCTGGTCTTCCTTGATGCTCTCCCATCCAGGTACTAACCAAGGCCAACCCTGCTTAGCTTCCAAGATCTGGTGAGATCAGGCTAGCGTGGGCCGCCATCATCCTGGGCTGTACTAATCTATCCCAGTCTAAGTCAATTAGGACCACCTCCCTCACCTTCGGGGGGGGGGAGATGCCAAGTACAGGCTCATCGCTGCCAACACAAGATGCCATCATGGTGGGAGGCAGAGTCACACGGCCTTATGCACTGGAACACAAGTCCTAGGGATGCGCAGTGTACCTATGCACCCCAATCTATCTTTCTGGTCCTCCAGTGACCAGGGGAGATGGTTTTACTTTCAGCTGTGTCAGAAATTGCAGTTCTTTTGCTTTGTCTCACAGAACATACTCTTGCTAAAATCCAAAGCCTTACTGTTTCTGCATCACCCCCTTTTCATGGGTTCAGTGCCTTGGTCAAGCATCAGAGGGACAAGTGGGAACTGTGACTGGATGGAGAGGGCTAGACTATGCTCTTAGTCAAGAAGGGGGTGACCCCATCAGAGTGGGGACTGTATGTAAACCCCCTTCTGCCTGTCCTAATGAGGGGGGCAGTAGGCAGACAATACCAAAGTCCACACTGTCTGCTCAGACTGGCAGTGGCTGTCCAGGATCTCAGGCTGAGGTCTTTCACATCACCTAGTACCTGATTGTTTTAACTGGAAATGTAAGGGTAGAACCTGGGACCTTCTGCATACCAAGCAGGTGCTCTACCGCTGACCCATGGCTCCTCCACAAATTGCGCCTTTGTGCAAAGGAGGACGACACTGACTCTCAAAGTCCCTGCTTAGCTGAGCTACACAGCATCTTAGCAAAGCACATCTTACAGTATTTCTTAAAGATAGTCTGACTTTTTCTTTTTTTTAAAAAAACCCTCTTCTGAGTTAGGAAATCCCAAAGGGGGAGGAGCAACCATTCTAAGCCCACCCCTGCAATGTGTCTTGTGAAGGTGTTCAGACCTTGCAGGTAGCATTCAGACGGATGCTAAGCACTTTCTTCACAGCTCTTCATTCTTATGAAGGACATACCTTCTATGGGAAAACACACCATCTGACCGGTTTCACACCTCAAGATCACCAGAGAGAAGCTCTGGTGTAGCTCATGATTCAGGGGATTGGGGGAGAGGAGGGAAGCACAGAATGTGATACTGGTTTTGAAATTCCGTCACCTGACCACCTAGCCTGTGTTTTTTGCAGTGCATCAGTGCTATCCCCCCCCCCCAAGCACTACAGGACCCCCTTTTTTTGTAAGGGTAACTGACACACGGGAAACTCCTCCTGATTACATGCTGCTTTGCTGGAGCTCTCTAGAACCCTCAAATTCCAAGGCAACTTCCTGGCAGCCTTGCTGGCCCTGAAGTTCAGGCGTGAACCCTAGAGAAGAAAAAGTCTCGCAGAACACCTTGCCTGAACCCCCTGCCCGCCCCTTTCCCCAATCCCTCAGATGACCAAGACAGCCGAAATAAAATAACAGTGACTATTTTATTGAACATTATTGAATACCATATCAAAACACCTTGACTAATAGGGGAAGCTTCCCTTCCCAAGCTTTAAAGTTTGTTTGTTTTTTTGTAATTTTTGTTGTTTTTTTTAACTATATAAATACAGATACCTTTTCCCTGCTGGATGATGGCTGCCGGCAGGGGCTTTTCCCATGGCTGAGACATTCTCCACTTCGTGCTCAAACGTGGATCGGGGTGGGAGGTTGGGGGGGGGGGTAACGTGTGTGTCTCTGTGCCACTTCACAACTCAGGCTCATTTCCCACGCAGGGCGGAGAGAGAGGTTCAGGCATCTTTAGCAGGACACTTGTGAATGGCCACAGCCCTTCAGGATGTCCCCACGACTGCCCTGGAGTGAGAAGTTCAAACCGAGACTCGCTAAGGAGGGAGGGGGGGAAAAAACCAGGGGACTTTTGGCAATGAGGTGTGGCGTCCCCCAGGAAAAGGCAAAGGGGGTGGGGTGGGAGAAGAGATTCAGCTTCTCAGGTGCTGAATAGCTCTAGCAGGGAGGCCAAGAGGATGCAGTCTTGTAAACATCACCAGGAACACACATCAGTTGACACGAAATGGCTGTTTTTGTAAACACTTGAAAGACAAACCTACAACGCCTTCAAAAAACGAGACAGAAAAAATGCCCTTTCCTCCTCAGGGTGTGGGTGGGATTGAGGGTGGGTGGGGGTGTCGTCTCTCTTCCTGGTTCCAAGGAAAAAGAAGAAGAAGAAGAAGAAGAAAAAAAAAATCACCTTTTCAGTGCAAAAAGTGTGGCCCGCATATAGCGGGAGGACAAAAGTTCCTTGTCAAAACGGTGGCAACCCTCTCTCGTGCTCCATTTGGCTGGCAGCCAGATCCAGACCAAACATCATGATGCCTCTGGGGACGGGGTGTCCGCAGCACCTTGGACGTGCTGGGCCTCCCCCCCCCCCCCCCGCCCCAGTTGAAGGCTGCCAAGGTACGGCTCTGCAAAGGTAGTGGCTTCTCTTTGGGGTCTTGTCTGCCCTTTTAAAGTCAAGAAGTAACACAACCCCCCCCCAAAACGCTGTCGTCCCGCAGGGTTCCAGAGTAGCTTTGGAGGAGGGAGTGGAGAGGAAGAGGCAAATGGAGGGGATTACCTGTCGAGAGGAACAGATCAACATATCAGCAGGCATGCAGACAGCGGACAAAAAAAGCCCCCACGTGCTGTGTGTTTCCCTGCACTTCCCCAGCTCCCATGGTAGCTGTTCTTCCCAACCCCATGCACCCCTGGAGTGTTTTTCAGGTTTTCTCTTTTTTTAAAAAAATGACAAACACACACGTCAATTACCTTTTTTTAAAAAATGAAAAACTCAAAAATCACAACCACCATCCTAAACTTCACAGGTCTGTTGTCTGGACCTGAAAACTAAATAAAGAAGAAAAAAATGAAAAAAAATCACAAAAAATGGCCAAAACCTCACAGAGGAGGAGGAGGAGCAGAGAAAAATGCCCATTATGGGGGCAGGAAAAATGAAGCCAATGTGGGTGTGACCAGAAAAGTTCTAAGATCCAGACTTCCCTGCAGCATATCCAGGGAAAATCCAGAAGGGGTATACAAAACTGTCATGATGCTGTGAGGAAGGGGGGGGGGGGGGGGGGAGGCTCCATCAGCTTCCCATTAGCATCAGTGCCAAACCAAGGACTTTGATGTGGAAGCAATTGTTATGGATGCATCCATGTGGAGGTTTTCATCCTCCTTGGCTTCCAAACCCTGCAGTGGAGTTTTGTGAGGAGAGCACCCACTAAACATTGTCTGCTAATCATCCACTTCTTATTGTTCTCAGTACATCGTTTCTCAAACCTGTTTTTGGTATGGTCTTTCCAGACAGAATGCAGCTCAAACGCATTAGCAAGCTGGATGGGAGGGCATGGATTTTAGAAAGTAGCACCCAGTGTGGAACTATTTTCCTTCCCTCATCCCTTGGTGCCGTCCCAGTTTCCTCTGGAAAGAGGGCGATCGCTGCCAGATGTTGTATGGAAGCTCCAAAAGAATAGACGCACTCCTGTTTGGAAGCCAATATGGAGAGAGAAAAAAACCTCCATGTGCAAGCAAGCCTTGTGGATTTCAGAATGTTGGGACAAGTTTCTAAGAAGAAGTGCAAGGCACAGTTCTCCTGTGCTGAAGCTCCCTGCAAAATTGTGTACATTAGGGGGTCCCCAACCTTTTTGAACTGTTGGCACATCTGGAATGCTGACAAAGGGTGGCCGCCGTGACCATAAAATGGCTGCTGCAGGAAGTGAAGCCAACCACACACAGGAAGCCCAAATGCAGGGGAGAAGGAGAGTGATTAGAAAATAAACTGGGAAAGAGGGGTAATAAAAGCAATGCTGTGGTGGCATCTGCCACTGAAACAATATTCTTTACTTTGCACAGCCAATCAAATCTTCAGTGGCAAATCAGAAGCCCAATTGGGCAAGAGTCCCATCTGGCCACACCCACTTTCTAAAAACACTTAGTGGGCATGGGCACCAATGAAAGTGTTCACAGGCACCTTGGCACCCATGGGCACCACTCTGGGCACCCGAGTGTAGACTCAACAAAACAGCTTTTTAATCATCTGCCAGTACGTGTGGATGGGCATGCATTGGAGTGGGTAGTATCAACATCAATGCCCAGAAACAGAGGCCTATTTCTTGCAACAACAAACAAAAAAAATATATAGCACTTGCCTGTTTGCTGTATAAGAAGAACAAGAGTTGGTTTCATACCCTGCCCTTCACTACCCAAAGGAGTCTCAGAGCGGCTTACAATCGCCTTCCCTTCCCCTCCCCACAACAGACACCCTGTGAGGCAGGTGGGGCTGAGAGAGCTCTGAGAGAACTGTGACTGGTCCAGGTCACCCAGCAGGCTTCATTGGGCAGGAGGAGTGGGGAATCAAACCCGGTTCTTCAGATTACAGTCTGCCACTCTTAACCACTACACCAAGCTGGCTTGCAAGACAAATGGCTCACCTGGGGAGAGATCTGCAAGCATTGCTAGAGTCAATCTGAAGGGTGCTCCGGGCATGATCTGTTCACTTCAAACCAGGAATCTATACAGCTGCAAAAGAAGAGGAGGGAGTCAGAAAAGGATCCATCACTACACGTCACCATGGCCAGTGCAGGCCTTTTGAAAGGGAACCAAAGTCGAACACCTACTCAGCCATTGTCATTTCAGACGCTGTCATTTCCACAGGGGGATGGGCTGCATGATTTCCTCATTGTTGCTGCAGCTGCTAATATGGTGCAACAGCAACAGGGCTTCCACATGGCAAGGTTTCCTCCAATTTTCCTTGCCCAGTTTCCCCAAGGCAAACATTTTGGAGGACTTAAAAAAAAATCAGCAGGATAGATCATTAAAACATCATTGCTGTGACAATCCATAGTAGAGGTTTAACAGGAAAGGCATAAGTCTGCAACAAAAGAGGTTAGAATCTTACTTTGTTAAAAAAAAATGCAAACAGGGAATTGAAAGAACTTGATAGGCAGATTGTTACAGCAATAACACAGTCATGTCACTGCTGATTTTTATTTTAAAAGACAAAACCCTCCAATGATGGGCAGGGAAAACTTCCCTGATGTTGGCAGGACCTGGGAGATCCAAACTTTCCTGTCTACATGGATGCTGCCCCAGCTCTGCTACACTCTTGTACAAAATGTCGTAGCAAAGGAGGTTTGGAAAAGATCTCCAAGAGACGGCCAAACCCCAGGAGGTGCACCAGGATGGCATGTGGAAGCAGGGGGAGGTGGGGACCAGGGCAAACAACCCATGTGACAAGGAAAAGTATTATCAGCCCATACCTTTTGAGGAAGGAAGAAGCACCCAGAAGAGTTCTACAAACCCTTGTGGAGGGGGCTGAAGGAAGAGCTCGGGCTTTGGGGTAGCCTCAAGCAAGCCAAGTCATTGTCGCTCCACAACCAGTAATGCTCCAGAAAGGGCGGAGCTCACACTGTACCTCTTGTGGTAAATGCACAGGCAGGGAAGCCGAGCTATCGTGTCCCCCTGCAGGAGTTCTTCCAGGCAGATTACACACTCGCCTGCATCCTTTGTTAGCACATCGTCTGCAAGGAGACAAAGAGAAAAGGCAGCTGGGTGACGAGGTGCAGCCACAAGCAGGAACAAAAGGCGCACATCTCCATGCTGCCCTGGCATTGTTCCACTGTGTGTGTGTGTGTAGAAACTCAGGCCGATAAACCAAACAGAGCCCTGCCTCCTTATGGGTTTGCACAAGATCTATCAATACAAGTCCCTGGCCTTCTCACCCAACTCTGGTCTCAGAGGCCTCGTGTGCCCCTGGCTCTTCTGTAGTATATGGGAACAGAGGACACTTTAAGAAAGGGAGCAGGATTGGAGTCTATTCCACTGTTTAACAAATGCATTACCTTGCTCTTACTGCATTGTTTCCTACTTCTGCAGTTCCATTTTTTGCACAATTTATGTCCTATCTTGTTTGATAATCCTTTTTGCCTAGTTTGTCATTTTCGTCATCCTGGTCCTATTGGACTGTTTGCTGGATGTCTCCAGCTGCTTGACTCCATTGTCTTAACACTGGGTAATCCTCCTTTGTGTCTCAGCACTTAAGTAAATAAATAAAAATCAGGTATCTTTCAAAATAAACTACGTCACAGCAACTGTTCTATAAACAACAGCCCATGGTCCCTCCCCACCTGAAGTCCAAAGGGGTGCAGGTCTGGAAACCAGTTTAACTACAGAGTGAGAACTATCCCATGGTTGTGTTAGGAAACTTCCATTTCTCCCATTCCCATGTTGGACCCGCTGACTGCCAAGTCCACATACTACAGGTTCCTTTTGTTAACATGACTGGTCGATAGTGAAAGGTTCGGCCAAATGGGGTGTGCAACCCACTTTAAAATCCAGCAAGCTGCTTCGTCACGCCTGCCAGCCCTTCTCTAGCTTCTGCTAGATCAATTGAGAAAGCCATGACATGCTTTAGGATAGAAGAATGCAGCCACCATGGTGCAGGGACGGAAAAGCATTCTTTGTACAGACATTCCCTATCCGGGCAGCTGTGTAGTCATGGGGGCACAGTTGCATTCACTGGAACTGCAAGTTAACAAGCAAGTGTGATCAACCAATTTAAAATTTGAACTGCAGATTTAAAGAGGCCGCAGTGCACTTGAGAAAAGTTACTAGTTTTACGGAAGACTTCTGGCTTGTATGAAAAGAAATATCTTTCCTTCAGCCAAGGAAGATTTAGCCCAGAGCCAAACAACTCTGGACACTGCTGTAATTAAGAATGGATGTGTTGAAGGTCAAAAGAAGAAATGGGAGAAATAACAAACACCCAATCTTGCAGAATAGGCATGGATTGAACTGCAGACACTGAGAGTGACTTCCAAGCCTTCAAAAACAAAAGCTGGCAATGAATGCAACACAGCTTCCACAGCCATGTCCCTTTTTTAAAGGGAAAAGCAAGGTTTAAATTTTGAAATTATTTCCATACAAGCAGTTCAATTTGGAATTCACAGGTTGGGGGGGGGGGGAGTCTTTCACAGGAAGGTTTTGTGTGTCAAACTGCAGGCTTCCTCACAATATCCTTGCCAGCTTATCGCATGTTCATGGTTTCCTGACCGTTTCTTCATGTTTCCTCAAAAATGGAGGAAAAGGTGGGCTGAGCAAATGCAGAGAAACAACAAATGGACAACAATGTCATGAAGGAGCTGAGGGGGGTGCTACAAACCATAGGAAAACCTCCATATGGAAAGACTGTAATGTAAAATTAAAGAAGCTTGATTATGGTGTAACACGAAACCTGAGCTAAAAAAACCCACATCATGGTTTGCAGCTAGCTGGCAAAACCATGGTTGGAAGTGGGTTTGCAAACCCAGATCGTGCTAATTGCAATGGGACAGAAATGATAAGCTGTTTACAGCCACTGCAGCACTTCCTGAGGCCCCAGCCCAGAGACTAGAGCACTGAGCTGATGGAGAACTATTTATTTATTTTATTTACATTTTTAATCACCTAATCCCCATTACTGTGGAGCTCTAGGCAAGGTATGAATTTAAAACAATAGAAACCATTAAAAAAAATCAAAACATATGATTCGTTAATTAAAATCAAGTGGCAAAATTTTGTGGTTCCCTCCCATTTCCGGCCTGTGGGTGCCTCATCGGGATTTTTTTTGGGGGGGAATTAGATCTTTCAGGGAACAGAGATCCAAGAAGGGTGCCAGCTAGAGTGAAAACCGTTGCTGTCCTCAAGCAAATGCCTGGCGGAACACTTCTGCCTTACAGGCCCTGTGGAATTGCACGAGATCCCGAAGAGCCCTGATGTTATTTGGCAGAGAATTTCAGCAGGCTGGAACTGGGGCTGAGAAGGCCCAGAGCCTTGGTCGAGGAGAGACAGATAATCTCTAGGGCCAGGGACCACCAGAAAGTTGTTCTGTGAAGAGCATAATGCTCTCCTGGGGGTGCACCAGAGGAGGTGGTCCTGCGGATACGTTGGCCTCATACCACTCAAAGCCTTAAAGGTAAAAACCAACACTTATAGCAAACCACTGTTCTGCGGGTTGATTTCTAACTCCAGGCATTTCCCTGGAATGTCTGTCCCATCTGTCCTGGTTTTGAATGTATAGTCCCCCTGCATTTACAACATACAGCACAGCAAGCATTTATTTTACAAAGTACATCACCTCTTGCTTGTGAAGACCTGTTGAGAAACAGACATTATTAACCCCCCCTCCCCCCCCGCAACAGACCTAAATGTACTGCTGGTTCCATAAATGTGGTCATGACAGCTTAAGCACACACACAGGCACAGCTCTCTTAAACAACAAGGTAGCTCTTCACCCACCCACCCATGTGCAGTTTGCATTCTTAAATTAAACTGCCATCTGCATCCAGGATGCCAACAGTGCTTGCAATAGTTCCAGGTGCATTAAAATCTAGTCAGTCAAATCCTTCGGTTGGTTAGAAGCCAGAGCATAGGCCGGAAGGATCTTTCATTGGGTGACGGCCCTGAACAAATCTGATACCCCAACTCTTCTAGAGGATCTCTCAGCACCAGCCAGAGAAGGTCTAGGACAAACTCCCTGCGAGAGGCAGTGGAGACAAGAAATTGGCGCAGGAGAAGCCTGCGTCCCATTCCTCCTTCTGCCTGAAGTCAATTCTATGAAAATCCTCCCTTTCCTTCACAGCTCCAAAAATAGACAGAGAAGGTGATGGCAACTGGGGGGGGGGGAGAAGCGGGAGACAGAAAGAGAGAAGAGAAAGGAAGAGTTGCTAAGCACCAAGGCTTTGCTTGCATGAATCTCTCCCCGCCCCCAAGCACGTCTGACCTGGCAGAACCCTAAAATCTGTGGATGTGTGCCAAGGACAGGGGGGGAGAGTGATGGGGGGGCTCATAGGAGGGGGGAAAGAAGCACTGTCTTTTGGAATTCCATTCTCCAGCATCTCTGGCACGACACACAAGGCCCTGTTCAGCTGGGCAGACCCGAGGAATTTCGAGGCGGGGGGGGGGGGGGGAGGAGATGGAGGAGGAGCTGCCCTCCTTATCCCAGACTGCTGCCAGGCAGGCTGGGGAAGGCCCAGCTGTGTGGTGCCGAATTGACCAGCTCCTCCTCCTGACCTGATTTTCCAGCTTGCAGGCTCGAGAGTTGCCCAGCGCCGCCTCTGCCAGCGCAGCCTGGGCGGATCCCGTGTAACGTCAGGGACTGATGCGGCCTGGCACTGACAGCCGGAGCAAGTGTCAGTCGATCAGACTTGTTGTTGCTGGGACTGACATACTCACGCCGGCGGGGAGGGGGAGGGACAGCGACACAGGGCAAAGCCGGTCTGAGGCCTCAACTTGCGATGGAGGCAGCAAGCATCTTGAGCAAGGCAGGAAGACTCTGGCTGCATGCACAGGGCAGAAGTGGCCACACACATTTCATGAGCTGGAGCAGCGCTTGTCCCTCTTCCCTCAGGACCATCACTGCCCCCCTCCAGCTCCCACTGTATGTGCCTCCCACACACATCATCACAGTCATTCCATCCAGGCACAGAACTTAACATCCAATGTTAGGTTACGTTTCCTGGAAACTTTGCTTTTGCTGGGGGGTGGGGGTGAAAATTCAAATTTCTAGACATTATGACCAGACAGATAATTTAGAAGGCATGGTAGGTCCGAAACTACCATTTCCCCATATTTTTTGCATGCAAATTACATAAAACCTGCTTTGTTGGCACAGATTTATTAGTCACAAAAATTTGTCTTCTCTTGGCGTGCAATTCCTGATTTATGCACTGGCACCCAGCACGCACAGCAGGGGGGGGGGAGATGCCAAGGTCTGGAAGATTAGACACAACCTATAACCATTCTACAGGGGACCTGAACATGAAAGGTAGGGGACAGAGGTGAACCAGCTGGGGAAACATGCCGGCCTGAGCCCAGGCAGACAGAGCTTTGAGCGCCCTGGGGAACGTCCTGCTTCAAAAAAGACCCACACTCACTTGCATTCACATCTTGCCAGACAAGACCTCCAACAGAAAAGACCCACTTACCGTTGTAGGAGAGGCGGGGCTTGCTCAGACACATGATAAAGTGCATTTCCGTTTCATCGGAAGCCACGGATTTGGAGCAAATGGGACACTTGAAACCTGGAGAGAGAAAGATGGGGGGAGGGTGTTAAAACAACCAGGTTATCAGCTCTGTTCCAACACCAACTGGGGAACAGTCTTGCAGGAAGAGAATCTAAGGCCAGAGCTGTATTCTGGACCATGTGTATTTTGAAACCAAGGAGAGGCCTCGACTGGCTTATGGCGCTCTGTAAAACCCAGTGTACGTTCGATGGCCCCAGACAATATTGGCAGTGGATGTTTGTACACTGTTTCCCTGGCTTGCCTTACGTATGCAATGGTGCAGGCTGTTGCTCGCAAAAACCTCATATCAGAATATGCCAGCTCACCCCCCAAAATGGTGACATGGCAAAATCTTGCTTTCTCCTCTCCTCCATTTTATCCTCACAATAACCCTGTGAGGTAGGCTAGGCTGAGAGTGTTTGACTGGCCCAAGGTCCAAGAGTGAGCTTCTGGGGCTGCATGTTCTTCTCTAATTTGTTCCTCATTCATAAGAACAAGCAACTGCAGAAGAGTGACAGGAATTTCCCACCTCACAGCATGTCATTTCCTTGACAAAAGTGACGTCTTTTTCTATAGTTTCTTGCTCTCTCTCTCTCTCTCTCTCAAAAAAGAACCCTGCTACTTTTAGAATTACCAGAACTCCCTTGGCAGCAAAGTTTGGGATCAGCCGTGGCTCCTCAGCACAGGTGTGCCTTCACCAAAGCATCCCATCTGTTTACAGAGGAGATCTGAATCACACGTAAAGAGTCAACTCCCTTTCCCCATTCAAAGACAGAGCCCACCCCTCCCTGCAAGTTCACACAGGCCCTTCTTAAAATACAGTCAAAAAGTCTCCTCTTTCCAAAAAGAGCCACCTCTGCCCAGGTTTGGCACGCAGATGCTTTCTAGGCTACAAAAAACACCTCAGCATATTGCTATTATAAAACCCACGAGGAGCAAGCATGCATAAAACCAGGACACGGAAGCCGCTTACTCAGACAGAGAGCAACTTCTACCCACTGGAGCTTGCGAACTAATTCCAGGCTGCCCACAAATTGCCACACACACATAAGCAAACAGAGGAATGTCCTGTCTGTCTCGGCCAGGGCTCTCCATAGTTCTGCAGGCTCTTTAAGCAATGGTGCTTCCCAGCCAAGGAGATAGAGTGGCTGCTCAGGATGCGCAGGACATGCGAGACAGTGAAATGTCATCCTCGAGGGAGGCTAGGGTGACAGAACGTTTTGCCCAGAGCTACATAATTAGCTTCATGGTGAAATCTGAAGATTCCTACAGCCAAACAGGGTGCTTAAGCCACTGCACCAAAATCCAGCACATTTTTATGCCATCCTTCTCCTCCACGGAGCTCAAGTCACCTGATGTGAAGACAAAATGGAAACCACAATACCCCGGGCGTGGCAGGTGAAGATGAGAGTGAGAGAGAGAGAGTGTGTGTAACTAGCTCAAGGTCATCAGGTGAGCTTCAGGGGATGAGTGGGAACCTTTGTCTTCCCCAGTCCCCAGCCAACCCCCTAACCACTACGCCACCCTGGCCCCCGCTCTGGAGAAGTGCAGCTGTCATGACTGAGTAGCCCTTGTCTCTCTCCACAAGTGGGAAAAAGACGGCAACTTGCTTCACAAAGGGGCAAACAAGATCAGACATGCCACAGGAATAAATCCTACTCTGTCATGTGGAATGAAACAGGCACCTCAACCCAGGGAGCTTTTAAAAACCCTTCTCTTTCCTTAACATTGCCTCTCCCTGCCATGCTACCATGCTACTTTCTGCAGAGATATGTGCTAGGCGGTGTTTCCTCTAAGCTGAGTTAGTGTGAGCTAGCTCACAGTTTTTTAGCCTCCAGCTCACACTAATTTATGCAGTAGCCGAATCACTTGCTCACAACTTTAACACCAGTAGCTCACAGAGTAGAATTTTTGCTTACAAGACTCCACAGCTTAGAGGGAGTATTGGTGCAGGGTGATGCACCTGCTGAGATCACAAAGTTGTGTGTGTGTGGGGGGGGAACACATGCAGAATGTTGTACTGAGTGCAGTACATGGCTTTCAGAGAAGCTCATTCCAGTCTCTCTTTTCAAAGGCAAGTTTCTAGCCTGTATGGCTGCAAAGATATGCTTTATGGAGTGTGCATGAACAACATTTGGCTCTCTGCATAGCTCCTCTCCACACGAAATACAGTGCCATAATACATTTTGCAAAATGGAAAATGCTTATCAATACAAAATTATGGAACCATGCAAATCCATTCACTTTGCATAAGGCATACAGGTTGCAGCTTTTCTTGCTTGACACACAGCCTTTTAGGCACAGAGTATCTGCAGGTCTGTTCATCTGGGTCTGCCCGATTCCTTCCTGCTCAAGGATACACTGGAATGTCAGTGTTCCCTGCGTGAGCCAGAGAGCTGAGCTGATGAAATACGACAACGAAATCCAGCAAGGACATAAAAGGTAGCCCATTTACATAAAGGAAAGTGCCAGATATGCAGGCAAGAGGATGGAGGGACAATAAAGTCACTTGTGGCGCAAACAGCCCCATGAATGAGATCCACCTCTTTTGGGTAGACAGTTAAGGTGCAAAATCATGCACAGCCAAAATAACCAGGCTTCATTAATAGCAGTTCTTGGACTAAGCTAGTCAGCATAAAGAGGACCTTAACAGCTTCGGGGATGTGAAGCAGGCTGCACAGTCTAAACAGGTCTATCACAGAGGGACAGGGTTAAGAGAGAAAGACTGGCTAGTAGCCACAATGAAACAGGAAACAATGAGCTGCAGAGCTTAGTGTAAGGAATGTCATGGAGACTCAGACCTCAAAGGGCATTATTTGCACCACAGAGCTTGAACCGTGTCATTCCCTCTCGGCAGGAACTGTTGATGGTTCAGCAACCTTCTCAAACTACAATATCCAAGATCCTTTGGGAGACAACCAACCTAAATCTGTATCATAGGTGATATGCCTATTTTAGACCAAAATGTCACCAGGTGGGGGAAACAGAAAGAAAGCAACAACAGAAAGAGATAGACTACTGGAGAGAAGAAAAGTCCAGGTGGACAGCTAGATAAATGCCTATGATGAGAATGTGCCTGGGTGCGGGCACACTTACTCTGATAGCAGCTGCTTAAATACGAACCATTCCTATTTGCGTGTACCAATGCCAATTTGTTTGGCTAGTAGAATACCCATTTAATCCTTTGAAGCCACAACATTTGGTATTTATACACACACGTCTTGGAAACATTACTGACATTTCCATAGCTGTGTACTCCCCCCCCCCCCCCCCCCCCCCCGCCACACTCTGCTTTTAGAGGAAATGCATGATCAATTTTCAACCACCCCTCCTCCCAACACTGATCAGATATGAAAATAATGTATGCAAAAAATTACAGCCTTTCCCAAACTCATCTGAACAAACACCACTGCACATCAACAGATAAACAGAGAGTTGCAGAGGTTAATTGACTCTTCCTGGCTGACAGAGAGGATGCCAAATCCAATCTAGAATCCTTTGGTGGAAACACAGCGGTTCCCAGTTCTGCCAGTGTCATGCGCCACCCCACTATTTGCTTGCACACAAAGGCAATCTGCTCCCTCTCCTGTATTGGGTACCACATTCACATGGTTAAGGCAGCTCACGGGTTTAGCTTCTCACAGTTCAGCTCCAATGTATGTAGAATGTATGCAGAATGTTCTTCTATCTTTAAAAACAAATGTTTGATCTTGGAGGATCTACAGATAAAGCAGATGTTCCTGGCAGCAGTTTGCACAAATATGGCAGTTGAAAATGTCTTGAGTAGGCCGCAAAACAAGAACATAAGAGGGAGGAACAGAATAAGACAACCCCCACCCTTGTGGATATATACCTAACTCTACCGATGACATGTCTGTCAGTGAGACTGTTACAAGAGTTGGAGGCAGCCTCTTCAAAAGTGTTTGTATCTATCACAACGGGAAAGACTGCAGTTTCACAATGAGCGGGCTTGGCAAAGAATTATGGGAAACTGCCAAAGAAAGCTCTGGAATACCTCCCCTTCCCAAGTAAGGAATACATAGACATATATAAAATGCACACAACGCACATGTGTGAATGCAGAAAACACTTATTTGCTTAATATATAACCCCGCCTTTCTTCCCAAGCACATTCTCCTTGGCTCCATTTTATCCTCACAACAACCCTGTAAGGCAGGGAGAGGCAGATTAAGCTGAGTGTATGAGACTGGCCCCAGGTTATTCACCGATTTTCTATGGCAGAGTTGTGGGGCCTAACCTGGAACTCCCAGATCCTAGTCTGACATTCTTAACAACTACACTATACTGGCTCACTTGCTTCTGGACAACCACCATACAAGTACCTTGTGTGTTTATGTTATGTTATGTCTACAGATGCCAGCTTTTCTTACTAAGTCTTTAGTTTCATATTGGTGAGCTTTCTTTAGCAGGGCAATTTGTTCAAGCCCACTTCATGTGGTATGTTGTCTTTATGATCTTTTAATAAAACCCGTGGGAATGCCTCCCTGTAAAACTCCCATAAAGCTGGGATTGACACATTCACCGTGCAGTCAGAGGCCAAATACTTGGTTTCTGCTGCAAACCAAGACTCCAACCCACTTGCACTCCATCCTGCCCATCCTACTGCAATGCAAATAATAGCAACAGGCCCAGAGCCTGCTGCTGAGGTACCTGCTTGCCCCCCAACTGAAAAAGCTTCCATCTGACAAGTCACTGGGATCAAGAACAATGCCACCAAACAGACTCCCAGAGCAGGGACTTGCCCTGGCTTTAGGATCAAGGAAATAAATGGCCAAAAAGCATCTGAAGATTACTGTCAGAAAATGACCACCAACATAGGGCAAGCAGCCGCTTCCCTTGACCAATGTCTTTATCAGTTACCACAGAGAAAGATGGTCGAATTTGTGCATACTGCAGTAAACTGCACACAAGAGTACAACACTTAGTCTTGTCCCTACCCTCCACAAGCATTGTGACATGAGAAACCATTGATTTACTATGGCACGAACGTTCATGGA